TGTCTGTGAATAGCCTGAGGGCGGTGCATAGACAACAACCCTGCGTTGTCCATGACTTGCACCAGTGCGAGAGAGACAGAACGGAATCAGTCCACAAGCGCACTTCCATCGCCACCTGGTGGCATCTAGGCCGAGGCCATTCTACATACACAAGGGTGTTTGGTATGGGTGGACGCGACATGTGTCTGCGGACGACCGACGGGACCGACCTCACGCCGTTTCCGGGAAACCAAAAAGCCAACGAGGGCGTTCTCTCTCTCTCTCTCTCGCACCCAGAACGCCTCAACGCCGAGAGAGAGAGAGAGAGAGAGAGAGAGAGAGAGAGAGACGGAGCGACGATGTAAACGATTCAGTCGAGTCAGTGCGAAGGGTCGCTTCGCTGCACGTGTGCCGCGTGGGGCCAAAATGTGTGCATGTAAACTAGCCAAACTTTACCCGACTGGATACACTGCCCCGCGCCTTCTCCGAGAAAACTTGAAAAGCGAAACGAGTGTGTTTTGAGCGCCCCGCATCAACCATGTTCTGTTGTTTGCGTCACTTGAGCGGCAATGCGCCGCTGCGGCCTGCATCCTCTCCGGTGCGGAAACTAAACAAAATAAAAGGAGGGAAGAAAAGAAGAGAATAACAATCCCAGAGAAAAGGGGCGCCCTGCAGACTGATTCCAAGAGTCGTTTTCGCCGCGCTGTCTCTCTCGCACTCATGGGGCGTGCCGTATGGGTGTGAGAGAGCCAACGACAGGTGCACGTTGGTCTAGGGTCAGAAACTTGAACGCACGGCGCCGGGGCAAACCGCGAGGTGTGAGGCCGTGCCCGCCAAACGCCCTTGGCAGGGATTCGGCCGACGCAGCAAGAAGCATCCAGAACGCCGCGCCATGGCCACGCCACACGCCATAGACAACATAAGCACTGCGAGTCGCATTCGGGGCTTCGCGTGTTCTTCAAGCACCGCCCACCGCGACGGTGTGCGAGGGCCACGCACTGCATGCACATCGCCTCGACTCGACGTTTCCTGTCTCCACGCGACCTCCCCCACCCCCTCAAAAAACAGAGTACCTCCGCGCCCTGCCCGTGCTTTCGGAATGCCTTGCAACTGTAGAGTGGTTTGGCTCTCGCACCGAATTGCCCACTTCGGACTCTGGTTGGTTCGATGTCGATTGGGCCAACTAGACGGAAACAAAACGAAAACAAAAATCAGTTTTCGGTTTACGGTTCCTCTTGGTCCAAAAAAAAATGAAGTTGTTTTGGTGACTCACCCGCGCACGGTGTGTGTGTGTGTGTGTGCGTGGGCGTGTGTGCGCGTGTGTGTGCGTGCGCGTGTGAAACACGTCCGAGAGGCAAGAGGGACGATGCGTGTCAGGAGCAAAAAGTCAGCCCTGGCCACCGTAAAAAATATTAAAGAGAAAATAAAAAGAAAGGTTGAGAAATAGGGGCAACGGTCTCCTCAAAGGGCTGTTGTATTAGGCAGTTTTAAAGGGCGGGCCAAGGGCACAGCAAGCACGGCACTGCAAGGCACGGGCCATTAGGAGAGGGTCGTAAACCAATCAAATCGACGGAGATCATTTTCAGCCCAGCCATTCCGAGGGGTGTCACTTCCGTCGCAGTTTCTCACGCCTCAGTGGGGCGAGAGAGACAGCGACAGTGTTCGGAGATTTGAAGACATCTGCTGCTATGCAGGTTGATGATTCAGAGGGAGGCCTGTCGTCGTCTGTCTCTCTCACGCGCATTCGGAGCGCCCCGCAAGTGCGGCACTGGGCGGGTAGCTCCAGCGCGCCCAGCGCGGCTCGGCTGCCCGCGCCCGGCTGAGCGAGACAGCGGAAAAAAGACTCTCACACTGCTGCCTGCAGATTCGTCTCCAGAGAGGGAACCGCGGAGGGAACGCTACGTACCGGCCCGCGGCCGTCGAGCGCGGGAGGCCTGGGAGCGCCTCAACCGGACACCGGACATGACGTCGCGTCGTCTGCATTTCTCGGAACGTTGGCATGGGCGTGACCTCGGCGCCGAGAGTGTCCCAGACGGCAGGCCTGCCGTTATCACGCCGTCTCCCTTGCAGTGCGCCCCACACGAGTGCGACCGCCCCCTCCCCCCTCCCCGCAGATACAGGCAATGGGGTTTTTGCCCCCCCCTTTTTGCCCGCGCCTGCCTCCTTAGGAAAATCCTGGATCCCGGCCAGTCCCTCACACAGCTCACACAATCCGCTGTTTTGATAGTGAACTCACGGACCGACTGACTTCAACTGACCACGCATCGATGATAAGAGACCATGGTTTATTGACGGATTGATTCCTAGCTATTACAATGGGCCTAACACGTGCTCACCCCCGGTCACTCCCTACAAGCGCTTGGCTCACCTAGTCTGAATCCTGGCTGGGCTGCGACTGCCCGTCGACGGCCGCGTCGCTCCAGGCCTCGGCCCTTCGCGACGCGCCCGGCGGGTCATTTTGCTGACACAAGGGATATGGGTCGCGGCGGCGGCGGCGGATGCAGCGGCCGCGCCCGCGAATGATTTGAACCTGCGCGGGGTGGCGCAACACCGCCGCCAAGACTCGAGAGACTGACTGACTGACTCCACTCTGCCGACAGAAGAAAGGAAGAGCGATTCGTCGAAGCGCCGCACGCAAAGGCGCCGCCGCCACCACCGGGCAAGCAGGGCAAGCGAGCGAACGACGCCAACACCACCCAACGCACGCCGTCATGGCGGCCGTCGCGGCAGTACACTGTGGGAAGACCGCTTCGAGGACCGCGACGGCGAGTGCGCCGCGGCTGCAGCGGCACGGCGACCGACCACGGAGACGCAAAAAAAATGACGCCTTTCGCCTTTTATAAAACTGGCGAGATAGCCTCTCGCGGCGGCCGGTAGCACGGCCGCACGGCCCTGGGACAAAATTTGAACCAATCCGCACCCCCCCCCCTTTCCCCCATTTGCGACGCGCTCCTGCGCACGACCTGTCAGTACGGTATCGTCATCAAACTAACCTGCAGACTGGTTCCGAGCACTGCTTTCGTCGCTCTGCCTCTCTCGCACCTGCAACAGGGGACAAAGCCGTGAGTGCGAGAGAGACAGAGCGACGAAACGCTCCTTCGTGGAATCCGTCTGCTAGTACCTACGCAGTGAAAGAGCACGCGCCGCCTAGACCCGCCAAAAAGTGTCACGCGTCCCCGAAACCTTTTTATTTTCGTGCCAAAATCCAGACTGTCGGCTCAGCAGAATCGGAATATACTCGAAAAAGCACAGCCGAAACAGTCAGCGAGTTCCAAACTCAACGAACCGAACCGGCTCAGTGGCACGGCGTTGGAGGGCCAGGCGACAACGGCCGAGTGCACGCTGCTATCGAAATGACAGCAAAACTTCGTTCAGTAAACATGACCCGTTTCGTCGAGCGTTCCCGCTAACCGCCAGGTATGCTTTAATTTCGAAACACACACTCAAACTCAGTTATCTTCCCTCGGCGCTGAACTCGGAGGAGGTTAGGCCGGCTCAAGCTCGCTCGCATTCGGGTGTCAGGCGACACAGGAATGACGCTCACCTCTCTCAATCAATCTCGAAAGCGTCGGTTCGTCCCCCAAACTCGGAGACACATCACAGCACAGTGGCACTGAGGCAAAACGCGGTGGCTTTGATCGCAAACAAGCGCGAGGACTTGCCGGGAAGCGCGGCGCGATTGCCAACTTGCATTCATCTCTCTTCCGCGGGCGGCGGGCGTCATCCGTACCTTATATCCGCTTGGGCGATGGTGGATAGTGGACAGTGGACATTTCAGGGTGCGACGTTGCCAGCCTGCTTTTGTTTATTTACTTCCTCTCTTGCGCCCACCACAAATGGTGATTCGTGTTTTAGCCATTTCAACTCACTATGCAAGGAAATTGCAGCTGGGGAGCAGCTTCAGGAAAGAACGCAATAAGTTCTGATGATATTGTTATTGGTGAGCGGCAACGTCGCACTGAACCAGCGCCTTATAACCGGGAACAGACTCTCCTGAAACGTCCACTATCCACTATCCACTAAGGGCTAAGCGGATACGGGGGTAGTCAGCCGTCAACAGAGGAAGAGGGCGCTTCTGCACTCGCGCTACTGTATATACGCAGAAAAGCTAGAGGGGCCTAAAGGGACGGGGCCGGACCGCCGGACCTCACAACTCTCCCCACCCCTCCCCCCGTGAGTTTGAGGTACCAATCTCTTGCGTGCCGACCACGAATGATGATTCTAAATTTTCATTCAATTTTCGCAATGTAGGAAAATCTGGGCCGCGGCGTGCTTGGTGGGCGCTTCTGCCGTTATACTGTGAAATTGGCCGTTGAGTGACTACCAAGTGACGAGTCGTGTCGGCTGTCGAGTCCTTTCGTCCTTTGTGTTGCCGGCGCGCGGCGGCGCAGCTTTTGCATCCCATTCACGGAGGTCTGACAGATATACAGCCGAAGACTGTTCCGGTGCCGCTGTCCGCTGTGCGCCGCCGACCGAAAGTTTTCTCGTGTTGTTTTCAGTGCGCGCTATGCTAATGGAGGTGGTCGCCTCTTCTCATTTTTCGGCGTGCTTTGAGTGAGCGCCTTCGAGATCCCGTGGAGCAGAAAACGCGTATCTCAACATCTAAGTAGAAAGAAGGTGAACAATGACCAAAATGGATCTGGCCCTTGAAACAAATTCAGTGTCGCTTGTCTAGTTTCGTCTTTGTCGCGGCGTTTGATTCCGAATCGCAAAGTTGGCGTGACTTGGACGGGCCTGGTTCGGCAGAGGATCGTCATTCCTCGCCTGGCCTGTCGTGTCCATGTTGTTCCGCGGTGCGCGGTGCACCTGAGCCTCGTCCTGCGAGGCGCCGTTAGGTTGGCAACCCATCCGACGGTGGCGCTCGGCGGGCCAGTCGTGGCCAGGCGGCATGCAGCGATACCCCTTGCCTCCAGCAGCCTCGGTCACGACGCGATTCAGCGCACCGTATTTCTTGGTCGTGCAATCATTTCTGCTTCTATGCTCACGTTCTGAGGGATTAGTTTTGACAGTTAAAGAAGAGATTCATTCTTGAGCGATCATTTTATTGGGCATCTTAGAAATAACAGATTTGTGACAAACAGATTCAGTGCGTGGAATAATAAGTGTGGTACAATCACATTGTTCACAATTTTTCTTTTCACTTTCATGGGCTCTTGAAATCTGGAGTGATGAAAATAGCCATCACTTTTAGCCGAAAGAAAATTATGTAGGAGAAACTGATTTCATATTTATCCTAGAGATCATGTCAAAAAATAGAATTTAGTGGTTCAGTTTACAGTTAAGTATTTATTAATAACAATCTAGCGTGATATGGACTTTTGGCTAGCAATTCAGACTGAGCTACAGGCATAAAAAATAATATTTAATATGGAGACCATCTTCACAAGAATGGAATGCACAATCAAATGGAATATGTCTAAAGGAGAAAATGGTAGTTGGTATTTATTTCATCATATGATCTATTACTAATTACTAAATAAACAACATGTAAAATATCAATCACAAAACAAACCCACAGCCTTTAAGTGTGATGTGCATCAACAAAACTATCCAGTATGACATCCTTATCATTGGATAGAGCTTTCCTTGCGTGACAGTCAAAACAAATAGGAAGAACTACGAATTTTATGTGAATGTAAACTGAGGGTTTCAATGTTGGCTTAGGTAAAATAAAATGGAGTCGCAAATTCAAACCAATGGCACAGCAAGAACTACACACAAAAAAAAGAATGTGACAAATTTAACCGAGCTGTTACTCGTATACATTGGATAGTTAAATACGACGAGCATGTCTCAAGCTTCAACTAAACAATTTGAGATATCATCCCATGAACTTACAAGACTCACACCACCCACACATAAACAAAATACCAGAAAAACCAACCCACAAGTTTTAAAAAATCAACAAATAAAATAGACGATTGATAGAACAAGAGTATCAGGATTCATAGCAGTCAGCGAAACTTTGATGAAATGAAAAACAGCAGTTTACCCTGATTCATAGCGGTATTCTAAACGTTCTTCACCTGTCGAGACAACAGACCAAATACTGTTCAATAGAGACATCATATAATGTGGTAGGTAGACATATGAAGAATAAGAGACTAGGGAGGCAACGAGGAGCATAGTTGCATCTGTAAAAAGATCATTAAGGAAAAAGCACAAGGAAATCACTCATAATGATCAATTTAAGTGGGAGCAATTAGTAAGGCTCAGCATTTGGCAGGGGTGAGCAAGTATTGTGGTGCATGGCAATTAAAGGATACTGAGACAGGCTTGTTCCCAAGGTTCAAACATGTTCAAGCAGGTAATAAGCTCGTACTGCAGCACAAGCCATGCAATCTTCTTTCTGAAAAAGTCCAGCATTGTCCTCGTAATGATTGATTTTAGACTTGGAGGAGCAAAATGTAGAGCTGGTCTTGGAGCGCACAGAAAGAACAATTGTCAACAATCACTCCTTTGACAGCAGAAAGAAAACTGAACGAAACAAGAAGAAAACCAAACGCGTTGAGGATGAGCCATTCATATCAATATTGACGCTTGTTCTAGGTTTGGACCGCAATATGAGACTAGATTATATGAGAAATTTAGCAAGTGCATTCTTTTGCAGCTTGTCATGTCATGCACAAGAACAAAGACTTTGAAAACGATTTGGGTTCAAAAGATGCTTGAAGATGCAATTAACCTTTTCGTCCTATAAACTACACTTTCTTAAGTTGGTAAAATGAATTAACAATAGTGGAAAATATAACCCTTAAATTTTTCATCCTAGCCTTGAGACCCCTTCGGAATACCAGTGATGTCTGCTATCAACAATTGAACGAACACTTCAACTTTCAAACTTAACACTCTGTCGGTTACTGAGTTGTGGAGCAAGTTTTTCACTCATTTTGCTGCTTTGAATAAAGAAACAGTCATGATGAGTGCGGACAGTACCAAGGATGATGCCAACTGGGTGTCTTTTGATGAAGTGCCATCTTTTTTGTTAAATTTGGCAGAACGCATTCAAATTCTAGAACAAGCTGCATGTCTATTCAGAGGTTGGGACTCTGAAATAAATGAACTGAAATCAGCTACTATTTCAGCATTGTCAAATTGCAGGAGGGGTATCGAAGAAATGAAAAAATACGGGAAAGCTTTGGAACCGCAATTTGAAGCTTCTAGCGTAAGTTCTACTATGCGTTCTATATTATTCGTTACTAGTGCTTTGATAGCTACTTGTTTTTTTGTTGTTGTTTTTCAGGCCAAACAAAATGATTTACGACGTCTCAAGCACAAAATGCAGTTTATACTCAACAACATTCCTGATCGGTTCAACTGTCCATCCAATATAGCTCAGTTAAACTCTGAGGTCAGATGAGAGTCCATTGATCCTAAGCCCTCACAACATAGTGTCTAAAATGACAGCATGCGAAAACATTTTACTATTGCAGGTGGAAAAGACTGATCAGTTGCCTGTCGAGGAGACACAGATGGAACCAAGTCAGACTACCATCAAGGAAAAATCAACTATCAAGATCCCTGATATCCTATTTCTTACTGTGGATGAGTTTGAGAAAGTGCCAAAGTAAGTATCAATCCCACAGCTATATCTAAATTATTTCAAATTTTGTAATTATTTCCCATTTTTGCCCCTTCCAGGTATATGAAAGGACGAGTAACTTATGAAAAATTAAACGCATTCATTGAAGTTTTCAACAAAGTACTGCTGCAAAAATACACTATTTTTAAGAAAAAGAAGTCAACACTCAAGAAGCGCGATGCAGATTTATGGAATGAGTTCAATAAACAGGAACTGAAAGAAACAAAAGGTAAAATCTTTATCTTAGATAGCATTTAGACCTGATATTTGATCTTTGTAACTCAATCTCTTATTCCTGAACTAGGTTTGTATTTCTGTGTTGGAAATGACTTCAAAACTTTTAATGGATTTTCTTTGGACAAAATGTCTCTGAACATGATAACAATATTGAGGCATTGTGGGAGATTACGTGAACTTCGCACTGGTGGGATTCTGCGGTATGTTGCTATGTTCTAAATTAGTGAAGTATCTTAATGAATTATACAAATAAAATTCTATTGTCTCATTAAGATCTTATTTCTTAATCTTACCCACTCATTGATTGAAAGGAGAAAATGCTTGAGCACAAAAGTAAGGTAAATGAAGAGTTTAACAGTGGTATTCATACCACTGATAAGCATATTTGGCCAGAAAACATCCATTCTGTCCCATGGAGTGACATGGGCCCATCACATTAAAATTGTGTCGACACGATTGTGCCCTTCATTTTCTCTCTTGGGCAGCATGTATACAAGTATATTCATACAGCAAGGATATAGTGAAAAATTAATTTTTTAACACATGAATAATCATAGAAAAGTTCTAAAGTCACAAAATAATAAATTAAAAACATCAACTTTCACCTCAATTGAAAAGGAATGATTCAGTTAGGGACCACGCCATAAGGTTTCATACAACACAAGAGGAAAACAGTGCCTTGCCAATTTCTTAAAAGATATCCTTGCACTGCTTGGCGATCCAGTAAACAGAACTTCAAATGTATTCTTTCTAATGTTATACACTTCTACACAAGGGCACTCATTGTGTTCTGGGAAAGAGTAAATTTTGTCTCCCACTAAGCACACATTTCCTGCTGTATACTGGAAACGCCCAACAAGTTTTACGCATTTATCCTTCTCTGGATCAAAGCGCACCAGATCTTCAGAATAGAGGCCTGTCAAATTGGGGTTTATTTTAGTTCATGTGTATAATTTTAAGGTTTTAAAAATAACTAGAAAAGGGAAAAATACTATTACTGTACCTGTAAGATATATAAAGTTTCCATGGGTCAAAGCTGTGTTGTAGCTGGTGCCAGATGGAAGTTGCACATCATTAAGAGTAACCCAATTATCAGTCTTCGGGTTGTAGCAAAACACACGACAAGAGATCACATACACTAAATTATTGTGGACACATGCTGCAGCTGAGTATAAAGCACTAGGTAATGGGGCACATTTGTACCATGTTCCTGAAGAAAAGAAAAGAATTATTTAGCAACTAAAGACAGTCCAGAAATCTTTATTGGATATTGCAAAATTGTGTTGATATTTTTAGAAATAATGCTGGTACTCACTTGAAGTGAAGTTGTACCGGTCCACTGAATCCAGAATGACTCTAAACTTGCCACTGCCACCAACGACATACATGTCATCGTCAATGCAGACAACAGAGTGATGTCTTCTAGGAACAGCCAGACTAATAACGAACATCTAATGTAAGATTCAAAATTTTTTAATGCCATAAATTCATTAGAAAGGGAAAAAATACTTTACCTAGTCTCAAAAGTCCAGGACTCACTCCATGCGTTATATTTTAAGACAGACCTATTCCAATCCCCATATCCTATTAAATATTCTCCACCGACAACATATAGTTCCTGACCTGCAATGATTGAGTTGAAACGAGGAGTGTAAGATGATATTTAACGAAAAACCATAGTTGCAATCGCACAGTACCCAGCAATGATGAGAACAAACCTTTGCTTAAAACAGCATAGCCTATTGGCTCTGTCGGTCCTTGATCAAGCTTATCTAAAGGCATCAATGGAAGAAGCTTTTCGCTTCTGTTAGGATTCCAGTAGAAGACATAGGGCAGCATATTTCTTGCCTTTTCCTTTTTATTTTTCTTTGCATGATCATGTGATGGTGAACTATTCTCCTCATCAGGCCCAGAATTATTTTCTACCTTGTAATGTCCAATTACACATGGAACAGTAGCAACTTGACGGCTTGGCTGAGCAAGAATATCTCGTGACATTTTTACAGTAGCCTCACTAAACTCTTCTATTAATTTTTCTGCCTCTGATTCTATCTGAACTGAAGCAGTATCCATAACGCACACTTTAACTGGTTCTGCTTCAGGCAGTACTTCAAGTTTATGTTTAATTGAAGCCTTGTCAATGGAGTCAACTGCAGGTGGTGCTTTTGAACTACATGATATCGTCTTTTCGCCCACCAGACTCTTAAATGGTTCCATCTGAAAATAACAATCCAACAGTTAAAACCTCTGTTCGCACCTATGAAAGAGAAAATCATGTTTTCTGGAAAGAGAGTTTGACCACTTACATCCTGTTCAGGACTTTGGTGAAGTATTGCAAACTGTCTTTCTTCTTTGATGCAAAGGATGCACCTCAGCAAGTCTTGTGCATCTTCCCTATTTTCTATGCAAGCATAATTAAACATAGTTTGAATGTCACTAACTGAAATGAAATTCATACGGACACAGGAAAGTGCCTTCAAAGTATCTGACTTCCTTTCTACCATTTTATGCTCCAGCCACCTGATAAAAAGCAAAAGATAATTTATGGATGAAGGAAATGTTGGTTAATAGTAAATGGTAATTTCTGATAAACATGTACCAACCAACATATGGCTTCAAATACTTGGAATTCATCTTCACTTGATCCTAAAGATAAGGCATCTTGTTTGAGGTACTGTTCCAGTCTAGAAAGTGGGAGATCCAAAAATTCTTGAGTATTCCTTACCTATGATGATTACAAGTATAATTAATTTTATAATCTCAAAAGTAACAACTGAACTAAAGCTATACTCAAAGGACAAAAAAATCTCAAAGCTTACTTCACAAAATTGCCAAAGTGCAAGGGCAGAAGCTTTGTTATACAATTTGGCCAGCGATAAACGGTCTGCAGTGGCAGCTGTCATCAGACAGCTCTCGGGTGACAACCATCGCTGAACCATGACGTCTTCACACATTTGCTGCAATCTTTGAAATTGCAGCATCGCTGCAGCTTGCAAAACAGCTAAAACTTCTACACACTGAAGTTTGAAAATTGCTGTAGAATCATCAAGCCATTGTAAAATGAATTTCATGGTTGCTGCATCCAATCCCTGAATTTTGTTGGAGAGCAAAAAAACATTGGAATTATTATACACACCATATGGTTTGGTAAATAAGAATCCTGTAATATGTGAACATATCTCACCTGGATTTCAATAACAGTTTTGTTCCTTTCAGCAAAATTGTTACTGAACATAGCTTCAAAATATGGACTTTCAATGGCTAATGCACTTCTCACACAACTAAACAAGGTGCCATCAACTTCCAGTGTGACATCAGCTGGGGTGAGTTCTTTATCTGTAGTTGCCATTGCTCTGCAACACGAAATTCATACAAATGTGCGCCGAAAAGGTGAGTTCGATTCAAACAATGTAACCAAACAAAACACAAAACGCCGACATGTCTGTCAAATGCTCACACGCTCGACAGGAATGAGAGACACTCAATCTACCAAGGCATTCCTCGACAATAAAATATTTCGCACATTGTGAGAGGAAACACTGCACCGACAGCAATGACGATAAAAGTTGGCATAACATTCTATTTGGCAGTATTCACTCTGTTTACCTGATCAGTTGTGATCTGTGACAACCGACAACAGCTAGCAGACGCTTTTCAGCCCGGGAGGGTGAATAATCATTTTCCCCTTATTAACAGTTAAGCATAGCCAACCCCACGCCGTGTCGTGGCGTACAGTAACCGAGGCGTCCCTTTCATAGGTTGTAGCCTAACAAGAAAACCCGGACAGAACCCACCTCACCATTAAATATCCGTCTCAATGCGATTTTGTATCGCGGGTGTCCATCGATTCAAACCCACCTGTTGACCATGTTGCCGTCCTGAAGGGAGGCAACTAGAAGCGGGAAACTTTGCGGGTTTCAAATTCCAGTGGCACCAGCTCGCAACCTGCACAGTGCTGATCTGAGTCTCTGGTTGCCGATGGGAAAATTACGTGATCGGCGGGACCCCGCGCTCGAGGGCGTCGTGAAGGTGCACGAGGGCTGCATGGCCGCCGCGGTGCTGTGGTTCACCCTGGCCTGGCGTTATCCCGTGCCTGGAGGGCGAAGGAACTCAGTACTCGCGAAAAGATGGGCGGGCGCAAACGAAAGGCGAACCAAGTGGGCACAATGTTGTGCAACACGGTGAGATTATGGCTGGTCGCCCGCGAGGCCGGAATGGAGTAAATCCGAAATGTGCCCTTTTGACGTGTGCTTCCCCCGTAACGGCGGAGGGCAAGGGCAAGGACGTGCCTGCGGACCATGGGGCCGGCCGGCCGCCTCGCGAAGCACGTGAAGCACGGCCAGCCGACGGCCAGCCGACGGCCAGCACACGCCAATCCGCGAATGGCCAGCCGGAGGTTTGCGCGCTCCCCGCCCCGCCCCACCCCGCCACTCCCCGCCGCGCCGCAAGCCCCACCGCAACGCCCCAACCGTGGACTCTAATCTCGACTCGGCTCGACCGGGGCTCAGTGCCCAGTCTCAGTTCCCATCCCGACGGCACGGCAGCACGGCGCTCGCACCGCGACTCGACTCGGCCCAAGCCAGGATTCGCATTGGCGCTCGCTCGCCGCCTCAACACATCCACACCGCCACCAAGATGCACCTCGAGTCCACCCTGCCCCTCAAGGACCGGCGGCCCGGCCCCACCCCCATCGTGTCCACCACCCCGCCGGAGAACACGAACCGGCGCTCCCTGAAGGACCTGAAGGCCCTCAACAAGCCCCCCAAGACGCGCGCCCCCGCGCTCGGGGAGGTCGGCAAGCGGCAGACCCTCAACGTGTTCTCCGCGGACGGCCGGGACGTGTCCGCCGAGGTCGGCTCCGAGGAGGCCGTCGTGGACGAGACCGCCTTCGTGAAGCAGCCGGCCGTCATCTTCACTCGGGGCAAGAAGGTAGGCCCGGTGGAGCTGCCGGACGGCCTGGACGGCGGCGTGGCGGCGGGCGGCGTGTTGCCGTGTTGGGGTGGGCGGCGCCGGCGGCCCCGGCTTGGCGGCTCGGCCCCGGACAGGTTCCGCAGGGCTCTACTCTGCAACACGCCAGTGCGGCCATGGTGCGGCAGTGCCCTTGACTTTGGATGAGCTGCCGGTGCAGCACTGACCACGACCACGGCACTGACCGCCACGCCACGGCCCCACACCGGCAATCTCTGCCAGCACGTTTTGCCCGGCATCTTTGCCATCGGGGTGCTTGGCCTCGACAGCACGTGAAGCTGTACGAGAAGTCCAGGACTCTTCGAAGTTCACGACACGAACTTCAACTCGGTTTCTTGTTCCATATTGTATGACGTGCCGCAGGGCAGTGTCACTAGTGTCCCCAAATTAAGCCGAATTTTCGGCGGACTCTTGGACGTCAGCGTGCATTTTTGCTCCCCCTTCCAGAGCAGTGGAAAACCACAGTCAGTCTCCTCCTTGGCGCCGGGCGCCGAGGGCGCTGCACTCTGCAGGGAACGGCAGGGCGGCAGGCACCCTTCTTCTTGTTTGCACGGACAACTAAATGGACCGATCAACGGTGACGTCAGCAGCCCCGGGCCAGTGGCGTTGCCCTGTCTCTCTCGCACCCATGGGGCGTTCCGCTGGGGTGCGAGAGAGACAGACACAGCTGGGATTACGCGGAGCGGGGAGAAGGGGCCGGCCTGCCCTGCCCGGTGCCGGTGAGGCAGGTTGCCCACCCTGCCGCCCAAGTGACTCATCTTCGTGTTTGGGTCGACCCGTCAGCGGCGCCCTCTGGCGGTCGCGTTCGCCGGGACAAAGACCTCGGCGCCGTCCTGGTCCGTCCTGGCGGGCTCCTCGCCATCCCAGTCCTCGCCGCCCTGCCAGAATCCCGCTCCGCGCTCCTAATCAAATTAACGCTCTGGATTCCGCACATCACTGTCGTCGCTCCGTCTCTCTCGCGCTCTGGGCGCGTCCCGCGTGGGTGCGAGAGAGACGACGCATCAGGACACGCGCGGCGCATTAGCGGTGCTGCCGGCGCGTGGAATAATAGTCCGCTCGCCCGGACCTTTGACTCCTCCACTGTGACTGCGACGGACCGTTGACTCCAGCGCCTTGCTCGTTGTTCCCACGCGGCCCACTTTCCCGACGACTGGCCGACCCGCTTTTAACCTCTTCGCGGGTCGTTCGATAACGCGGTGCGCTATGCCAGACCGTGCCGCCACCGCTGCACTGATGCACTTGAAGACAAAAGAACTTTTCTCTGGCGACTGATTCCGCCGTTCCGTCTCTCTCGCACTCGTGGGGCGTCCCGTAGGTGCGCGAGAGAGACGGAGTGACGAGCGGCCTGCAGGCCGTAATCTCTGGGTGCAGTGCCGGCCGGTGATAGCCTCGTTGCGCTGCCGCCATGCAGCCATGCTGCCGCGCGGCGTTCTCGTCGTAAAGGCGCGATTGACCAGGAAAATGATTCGCTGCCGGCAATACGGCAGCGGGTGGCGAGGCGGGGTGAGGCGGGGTGCCTTGTCTCGGCGTCGCTTTGACTTGCAGATGCGCCGCGTCTAGCGTCCGAACGTCCAACCGAACCGGCGGCTGCAGTGTAGTGGGTGTGTCGCGGGAGGCGGGGCCGCGGTCACCGCGCTGGAGTAGCGGGCTGATTCCGAACAATGCGCTTTCGTCGCTCTGTCTCTCTCGCACCAGCGGGCCGTCTCGTGGGAGTGCGAGAGAGACAGAGCGACGAGAGAGCGCTGGCGGCAGGCTAGGCGCGTGGCGCGCGCGACGCGTGCTCGCCAAGGCCCCCGTCGTGCTGGCGACAGCAACAGCGGGCCAAACCGCGAGCGACACTTATGTCGGAGCCGGTTCCAGTGCCGCACATCGAGGGGTCGAGGTTCCCTCCCGGGCTTGGGCTTGGTCGTAGTGTAGTGTCTGGATGGCGCTGGTGCGGCCGGTGTTGCAAGCGGTGCGAGCGGGGCACGCCGTGGCGTGGCAGGCGTTGCGTGCCGCGTGCCTCGTGTCGGTGTGTGTCATCGACTAGTGTACACCGTCTTATCGTGTTGCTCGCCTTGTTTCGGGCAAGTCTGGGGCGCGTCCGGTGGTCCCGCAGGGTGGCCCGGCCCGAACTACCCTCGACGGCGTCCTCGACGGCGTCCTCGACGGGGCCGCAGATCGGGGCGTCGGGGCCAAGGCGCTGAGCCTCGCCACCCGGGACTCCGCCCTCCGGCGATGTTGCCCGACAAAAGACACGCCGAGTCGGGCTGCATGTGGGTCTCCGTCTGTCGCTGCCTCTCTCGCCGCTGTCCCGAACGCCCCGTGAGTGAGAGAGAGAGACAGAGCGACGAAAGCGCCGTTCGGATTGAGTCTGCAGCCGCGCCGAGCCGCCACGCCCGGCCTGAGGTGGGCTGGACCGTTCCTTCCCGTCAGCCCGAGTCACTGGAGACGGCCAATTTCTGATTGGTTCCGTGGAGGCTCGCCGCGTCGGAAAGTTCCACGAGCGACGAACATGTACGCCGGCCCGCGTGCGTGCGTGTGCGTGTAACGCGTGCGTGTGTGTGCGAGCTCGCGTGCACGCGTGAGTGTGCGCTCATTGACGAAGTATTGTTCCATTATTTACCGCTCGCGACTTCGCGACCACCGCGCCGGCCGTGTCGGCGGGGAAGGCCTCGCCGTGCCTTGCCTGCCTCGCGGTGTCGTCACTGCGAAAGGAGGAGCGCCAAAGTGTAAAATAAAACGACGAAACGCGAGAGAACTACTACTACTCATTCTCACTCGTCAGGTTGTGTGTATGTGTGCGTGTTTGTGTGCGCTGGCGCTAGAGTGTGTGAGAGAGTGTTTGTTCCTTTTCGGCTGTAGGATGATACGGCAACGCGAACTTATCGCGGCGGGGCTGATACGTGTACACACCGCATTTTGTCTCGCCGTAACGTGTGTGAAATTGCCTCTCTGGCGGCGTGAAATAGCGAATCGGTGAACTTCGTCCGACTCCGTCCGACTTGGTCGGGCGCGGCGCGCTATCGGGGAAATTGAAATGCGTGATGCCAGACCCGAGTCGTTTCGTCGCTCTGTCTCTGTCGCACTCGCGGGGCGGCGCGCAGGGCCCGCAGGGGTGCGAGGGAGACAGAGGCCCTCTGCCTGTCGGGAATGGCTCGGCTTGTGCGATAAAGCACTTACAGGCTCGTTGCATGCTTTCAGCACGCGGCATCCAGACGTTGCATCACTCGCGATGAAAAACTTTTACATCATTCATTCGATTTGGACTTTCCCCGGACGTGCAATTAAACGCACTGACTTTTGTTTCAAAAACGGAGGGATTTCAACTCGAAGAACAATTGGAGGACGGGAGTGACGTCTGTTTGCTATCGTTTCGACAGGGCAGTATCTCATGTGGCCGCACCTGCGCGATGGCATTTCCACCACGATAGAGTGGCGACGGATCCTAGCGTCCCAGAGCCTGCAAGCGCTCTCTGATACAACAATGACTGGAGGACAACAAAAACTCCCCTCTCTCCCTCCTAGACGTTATCCTTCTTACCCACGCGATCCGCGCTTCGCATAGTCATCGTTTGTCCGCACGCGCGGCGCGCAAGTCCAAGTGCGACATTTTTCCGCAAACAAAACACTCGAAGAGGAGCGGGCGGCGCGTGGGAAAATAACAAACGCCCAGTCCGTCGCCGCGGCCGACAGAAAACAGGACGGAAGCGGGGAAGCGGACTGCTTTGCCTTCATTGTCCCGCGAAGCGGTCCAGCAGTGCTTTCGCGTCGCTCTGTCTCTCTCGCACCCCTACGGGCCTACGGGGAGGCCCACGAGTGCGACGGAGACGGAGCGATCCTGCCGGCGCTTCTGCCTCGCGAGGAATGCGGCACGTGCCGGCCTGGCGCCGCCTCATCGTCCTGGACGCCGTCGTCCAGCCGAGTCGTCGCTCTGTCTCTCTCTCTCCTCTGCGGGACGCCCCGTGAGTGCGAGAGAGACAGAGCGACGAAAAGGACGCTCGGAATCACTCTGCAGTTGACGAACGTTTTCACAACCCGTCGACGCGACAAGCGCTCAAGCAACATGCGCGGCGCTTCCGCGGCGTGACGCGCTCGCGCCGAAAAGCCCGCCCCTTTTGAACGGCGTGCTCGCCGCCGCCGAGGAGCGTGGACCAAATCGATGAGAATGCGTGAAAAAGAGAGAAGCAGAGAGATGCAGAGTGTGGCGTGTTGAACCCCTGCTGCTATGCAGTCCCGCGGACAGAGGTGCGCAACGGGACTGCCTACCCGGCAGGCGTTCTCCCCCTCAGGCTGCCCGACGGGGAAGCCGGTCGTCCCGGACGACTCGATGCACATTGATTCCGAGAGTCGTTTTCGTCGCTCTGTCTCTCTCGCACCCATGCGGGGTGCCCCATGAGTGCGAGAGAGACAGAGCGACGAAAACGACTCTCGGAATCAGTCTGCAGGGCGTTGCTGGCGTTGGGCGTGCACGCAGAGGACCTCCAATCGCAGGGAGTCGCGTCGGGTCACTTCTTTCCCGGTGGCATAACTCACGGAACAGATTGCGGTGCGAGCCAGTCTTTGTTTGCTTTCCCTCCGCGTCGCTCTGCGTCGCTCTGCGAGAAAGAGAGAGACAGCGAGAGAGGCGGGGCGGATTAAGACACATTGATAGGCCTGGCAGGACGATGCAGCCGAGAGGTGCTGCACGCAGCGGGCTCGTTCCGAACCGCGCCCTCGTCGCTCTGTCTCTCTCGCACTCACACGGGGGCGTTCCGAAGGCGTAAGAGAGAGAGAGAGAGAGAGCGCTCTGTTCGGAATAGAGCTACTGCTGCAGCGCACGCGGCGTGGGTACCAAGCGCACGCACGCATGGCGGCGTGGGTGAGGCGCGCGCTTATCTCTCTCTCTCTCTCTCTCTCTCTCTCTCTCTCTCTCTCTCTCTCTCTCTCTCCGAGAGGCACGCAAAAACAAAAGAAGCAGGAAGGACTCCCGACTTGTCAATCCAGATTAGTTTTACCCGCGATTTGATAAGGGGCGACAGACAACAATGCTGGAAGAGAGAGAGAGAGAGAGAGAGAGAGAGAGAGAGAGAGAGAGAGGAGAGAGAGAGAGAGAGAGAGAGAGAGAGAGAGAGAGAGAGAGAGAGAGAGAGAGGAACACGTCAGTAAAAATGGAATGTCACTGACGCGACGACCTTCCGGACTCCCAATTTCACGGCGGATTGCCGACTCGCCCGGCGGCCTCCACGCGGTCGCTATCGCGCGCGACCTTTGGCGACAAAATTTGCACTACTTTTCGTAAATTTTCCCTGACGCGGCGGACCGACGAGTGCAGTTTTTTTCGCCATCCCGCCGGGGAAAAACAAATTAACACCGAGAAAAAAGAACACGACCGTCATGTTTTTTTTTCAGTGTTTATATTCTAGGTGACTTTTGTTGTTGAGGCAGGTTAAGGGGTTTCGGCTGCGGTGGAGGCGGCAGCGCGCGTGGATATATACAACCTGTCAGTCTCTACAACGTTCGTGATGGGGGCAGCGGCAGCGTGCGCCGGCCAAAACGACAAAACGAGCGACGAGAGTCAAATGCGTTCCGTATGCCGCTCGCACCGCGCTCGCACCGCGCTCGCACCGCGCTCGGCGTACGGCGGCGAGGCGTGGTCGCCGGGAAGGTGTTTGGGCGCAGGCCGCGCAGGCGTGGTCCGCGGCGCTGCGCGCACGATGCGTGGCTACGCCGGGCTGCGCGCTCTGTCCTCCTTTTGTTTTGGCGCGAAGGCCAAACGCACCGGCCGCGCGTCGGGGCGGGATGGGCCGGCAGCAGCCTCAAACCGGGAGTCGTTTTCGTCGCTCTGTCTCTCTCTCGCACTCGTGGCGCGTCCCGTGCAGGTGCGAGAGAGACAGAGCGACGAAAACGACGCTCGGAATCAGTCTGCAGGTGGGCACAACCTTTATCGCGATCTAAAGAGGCGCGGCGCGGAAAGTGTTTCGCGCTCCATTTGTTGTTGTTTTTGTTTTGTGGTGGTCTGACGTCGCCGTTGTTTTCCTTCGCAGGGGATGCACTACACGCTGCTGCTCCTGGACTACCACAAGGACGAGGGCAGCGCCCCCCACCACCGCCTGCATTGGCTCATCACAGACATCCCCGTGAGTATCGCCATACCGCGGCCACCGCCACGCCGTTCGGACGGCAGACTCATTCCTAGAGTCGTTACTGTGTCTCTCTTGCGCCTCCACGGGCCGCCCCGTGAGTGCGAGAGGGACACAGCGACGAGAACGACTCTCAGTCTGCAGTTTCGCTGATTGGGGAAGGGAGGCATGCTATGGCTGCTGCCACGCCGCGATGCGCCTGGGCTTGCAAAGCCGCGGATGCCGTGCTGCCGTGCTGCACTCCGCCAACAACATCACGAAGGCCACCGTCCACGTGACGTGCCCGTGCTCGACGAAAAAAAGAGGTTCGAACTGCGGCCTTTTCGACATGACATGACCTGCGGCACGATGACTCAGTGCGGCGGCGGGGGCGGGGGGCTTCCTCCGCGGCGAAGGCCTCCACGATGGCACACGATACGATACGTAACCGCGACTGCGGGTAGTGCCGCGTCCGTCCCGGGTTCGAATCCCCGCCGCCCCTCGCCCGCTTTCGGTCGGGGAAGTCCCACTGGGCGGCAGCACAATGGCCCCCTAAATCGGAGTGGTCGTCTCGGGGCGGCGCTACCGACGTGCAGCCACTCGGCACGCCGCTTTAACTGCAGACCGCTTCCGAGGGTCGCTTTCGTCGCTCTGTCTCTCTCGCACTCACGGGGCGTCCCGGATAGGTGCGCGAGAGACAGAGCGACGAAAACGACTCTCGGAATCGGTCTGCCGCGGCCCGCAGCGTTTATTGGCCATTCGGCTCGCGTCTCGAGCAGGTGAGGAAGTGCCTGTCCGAGGCTTGCTGCTGGGCGTGCGGGGCGCTCCGCAGCGCTCCGGTGAGGCGGACGGCGAGCGCCAGGGCTGCCTCGCCTTGCTGCGCCTTGCCAAACCACGCCCGGGCCGGCTGCCGTGCCTGCCTGCTCCAGAGATGAAGCCGCCTGCGGTCAATGTCCCAAACGGTTTGGCTGTGGCCGCTTTGGCCCGGCCCCTCCTACCAGAACACCAGAACGAGTTCGCGCGCCGTGAGTCGCCGCGAACGCCCGGGGGGGGGGGGGGTCACCGGCAGCCAAAGGGAAGGGAGAAGGGCGCTGGAAAGGGGCCGGGTGGTGGTGGTGGGGGGGTCCAAAAAACGGCGAGCTGTCGCCGAGTAATCCGGAAACGGGGCGTCCTTTTTCCGTTCACGTTTCCCAGTCCGTCCACGCACGGGTGCGCCACGGGCGCGCCGGCAGCGCGGGTCGCGGATGGCGGCGTTGGTTGGCGCGCTGCGGTCGGCGGCGGCCGGTCTCGAGTGTCGCGGTGGCTGTGGTTCGGCAGCCAAACAACAAATGCACGTTTTTAGCGAAAATCGAAGCCAAAACAGCGCGCCCGTTTTTTTTGGGCAGTGCCGCAGCATGATGTGGCTCGCGGATTCACTGGCGCGAGCGACTTCCGGCCGCCAGGTCCACGGAGGACCGAGCCGAGGACCGAAATGACACGTTATCGCCCCGCGTAACTTAGCGCGTGTGGAGTGCAGGCCGCGTCGGGCCGCGTCATCTCTCTCGCTCAGCCGGTGCCCATGTTTGCGCATCCGGCCGGGCGTCCTTTTGCAAAAAGGAAGCGAAGCACTCGAGGCGCGACGCGACGACGACTCGGCACGCCTTTTTGTCCTACGGCCAGACTGATTCCGAGAGTCGTCGTTTTCGTCGCTCTGTCTCTCTCGCACCCACAGTGGACGCCCCATGAGTGCGGGAGAGACGGAGCGACGAAAACGGCTCTCGGAATCAGTCTGCAGGCCGCGTGCGGTGCAGTGCGGTGCAGTGCGGTGCAGTACGGTGCCCTTCTCGGCGCGCAAGGGCAGGGGGAGGGGCAGCAGGGCCATGGCAGTGCCGCGGCAGGGGAAGCAAAGGACACGCGGCGCGACGTTACAATGGCAACCAGGAAACGTTCGAATCGGACGCGCCCCCCCCCCCCACCCACACACACACACGCACACACATGCACACACACGCACACGGCGTGGTGCGGACGGGCCATCCTGGACCTGCAGCCAATACCCCGCCTGCCGCCGCCTCGCCCCTGCTGCTCGCGGAGACGGCCTGTCTGCGCGGCGCGACGGCGCGACGACGCGAGGACGGGCCGCAGCCAAAACACGTGTCACCGAAAGTCCAATGACGTTCCTCATCTGTCAGACGGACAGTCCGGCCGGTTTGCGGCCCGGCGGCCCGGCGGCGCACAGTGGGCCGGAAGGCCGGTGGAGGCGGACGCGGACTCCAGACGCGTTTTGAGCTCCACCCTCCACGCCTCCACCGGTCTTCTGGCCCACTGTGCGGCGGCCGGCACCTGCTGGAACGCGCTGGAACGACCGAGGCACTTAAACAACAAATTGGCAACAAAAGCGCGCGCGCGTGTGTGAGTGTTTCCTGCATGATCGATCGGTGCGTCGGGCGGCAAAATTAAGAAATAAAAGTCGGTTAATTACAGCCGGCCGGAGAGCTTTCTCGTGTACTCGTTGTAGTCCTCGGCCCTGGCGGCCACAAGCGGCGCGTCGATATCGTTTTGTCGGCCTCGCCGCCCTGCCCGACTGCAGCGACTCATTCAGCGAGCCGTTTTCGTCGCTCTGTCTCTCTCGCACACATGGGGCGTCTTGTAGGTGCGGGAGAGACAGAGCGACGAAAAGGGCTCTCTGAATCAGTCTATTTCCAGGCTCGGACTGGCCAGGGCAGCCAGGCAGAAAAATCTGCCGGGGCCTTTGGGGTTTGGGACCAGTAACGTCACAAAGTTGGTCGGTCAAAGAGTCCTAGTATATATAGGACGAAAGTAGCCGTTTTCGCTGATTTTGGGCGGCCGCTGCGTCCGATCTAATTGCGGTCAACGGCCTCCCTCAACGCCCTAGTATTCTTAAGACCCTACTCTTTCATGCCCTGCATCGGGAAGACGTTGACCACAACGATTTTGGCTTTGACCGCAACGATTTTCCGACTAAGTTGGTCAAAAAGTGGTCGAATCTCGGAAATTTGCTGATTTTGCTGACTTTGGATGGCCACTGTGTCCAATCTAGTCGCCGTAAAAGGCCTCCCTCGACGTCATAGTATTCTTAAGACCCTACTCTTTCATGCCCTACATCGGAAGACGTTGACCACAACGATTTTGGCTTTGACCGCAACGATTTTCCGACTAAGTTGGTCAAAAAGTGGTCGAATCTCGGAAATTTGCTGATTTTGCTGACTTTGGATGGCCACTGTGTCCAATCTAGTCGCCGTAAAAGGCCTCCCTCGACGTCATAGTATTCTTAAGACCCTACTCTTTCATGCCCTGCATCGGGAAGACGTTGACCACAACGATTTTGGCTTTGACCGCAACGATTTTCCGACTAAGTTGGTCAAAAAGTGGTCGAATCTCGGAAATTTGCTGATTTTGCTCACTTTGGATGGCCACTGTGTCCAATCTAGTCGCCGTAAAAGGCCTCCCTCGACGTCATAGTATTCTTAAGACCCTACTCTTTCATGCCCTGTATCGGGAAGACGTTGACCACAACGATTTTGGCTTTGACCGCAACGACTTTCCGACTAAGTTGGTCAAAAAGTGGTCGAATCTCGGAAATTTGCTGATTTTGCTGACTTTGGGCGGCCATTGTGTCCAATCTAGTAGCCGTAAAAGGCTTCCCTCGACGCCCTAGTATTCTTAAGACCCTAGTCTTTCATGCCCTGTATCGGGAAGGCTATTGACCGCAACTAGTTTGGGAGCGGTAGCCTCACAAAGTTGGTCATGAAGGGTAAAAACATAATCCGAGCCTGTCTATTGCCTCCGCCCCGCGCTCGCGCCCTCGACATCCTTTGTAGCAAAACGCGGTCCTTGCTCGGTGCCTTGGGCGCGACGCCATCGCGGTGCTATCTTGTTTGACGGGCGGCTCCACTATTCGGCCGCTACGAGACATGAGGCGTGGCGCCGTGCCAGTGTGCCGCGTTTCCTCATGTCGCCGTCGAGTCGGCCTGATCCTCACGCCTCCAGGCCGGCAGGCGGCAGGCCGGCAGGGCGTCGGGACGGTCGGGACCGGAATGGATCGTGACCGGGACTCTACCGCCGAGCCGTCGCGCGCTCCGCGCTGCGCGCCAAGGACGACCCCGCGGACCCTACCGGCCTGCCGGCACCCCGCGGACTCTACCGGCGGACCGGCGAGGCAAGGACACGCCGAGGACAGGGCGCCGCCATCGCCGTCACCGCCGCGATTCGGCTTCGGCCACTCACGGCCAGATTATCCCGGACAGCGCGTGATTGGCGTGATGCGCGAAATGACGGCCTGTGGTTGTGTGTGTGAGTGTGTGTACACGCGACCAAGTCCTGGCCAGGCACCACGCTCCATGGTGGGCTAACTCCATGGCGGGCTGTCCGTGGGACCCATGGTGATTACACCCAGAGGACCCGGTGAACGCTTTGCGGTCCGTGGTGACCCCTGAGGTGACTCACCATGCCGGTGCTCGCGGCCCGCGGTGGTGATTTTCCCCGAGCCATTCATCATCTGGAACTAGAGCACGGACTCGGCGACCCGGCCGGCACCGCTAGTCGGTTCGCCAGGCACGCCCGCGGCGGGGCGGGGCTGGGGGCTGGGCCCCCTGCAGCTTGCTCGCTCCGTCTCTCTCGCGCCCTTGCGGGGCGCTGCAGGAGTGCGAGAGAGACGGAGCGACGAGGAGAGCACCGTTCGGAACGAGCGAGCTGACGGCCTGACGGAACGCGACCCCGCTAATCCTTGGGCAAATCTGCGGCGCCCCTCAAACCCTCCACTCCACGCCACTCCACGCCACTCCAACCCCGGCCAGACGATTAGCACACCTAATGCCTGATGCGCGGCGGATTTGCGGAAAGAGATAATTTCGCGGGCTGTAGACTGATTATGAGAGTCGTTTTCGTCGCTCTGTCTCTCTCGCACCTAGACGGGGAGCCCCATGAGTGCGAGAGAGACGGAGCGACGAAAACGACTCTCGGAATCAGTCTGCAGAGATAATGAAGCGACGAAACGCACGACGCGGGGCGGACGGCCGACGCAATCCAGGGCGCCGCGCGGATTAACCTCACCTCGACTGCGTGGCGGCGTGCCGGCTAATCCACTGTTAATCCGCGTCGGAGGTGGATTAGCAGTGTACGCGGCGCTCCCCCGGGGTCCTTGCAGGGGGCAAGAGCCGGAAAGAAAAGGGGTGTGTGGACGGCGGGGAACCTCCGGCATACATCAACTAGAGCACCCATTAATCTAACCTCGTCTGTGTTGTGTGTTACAGGGCCAGCATTTCGCATCGGGTGACTTGAGCCGTGGAATCGTACTAGCTGGTGAGTAGGTGCACGGCTGTGTGTGTGTGTGCTTGGTCTGTGTGTGAGTGAGTGTGTGTATGTGAATGACCACTCCGGTACAAACAGAGTGTTTACATGGACCGGCAACCTCTGCCAAATCAAAAGCAGTCAACACTTTTTCTGCGCAGCGTGTCAGACTTACAGCGAAGTCTTAACTAGTCGTAACCAGACGTACGAAAACACTCGATATTTTCCACTTGGCCGGGACCAGTCTCGCTTTGTTTGGGTGAAAACAGTGTGGCGTGTCGGCCAAACAGACCGCCATCGTCTCGGGGGACTCCGCCTCCCGCCTCAATCCAGATCTCGGCCGGGCCGTCGGTAAACACGGGGCCAAACAAAAGCAGCAGCAGCATAGTAACCCGCGGTATATAGTGTAGTCTCCGCGATCTGCGATCGGGGCGATGTGCGCGCAGGTCAGTTCCCGGAAGCCTTGCCGTGCCGCGCCGTGCCACGCCGTGCCCGCACGCACTTCGGTGGTCCATCCAGGCTGCGCAGGGGGGCCGCCGCGCCGCGCCCCGCCGCGCCCCGCCCCGCCCCGCCGCGCCCCGCCCCGCCGCGTCCAGCACCGTGCCAGCAGCACCGCCCCGCGGGTTTCCCATCCTCCATTCGAAGTTGTTGTTGTTGCCTGACGTCACGGCGCCGTCCACGTACCTCTTGTGGTTCTTGTTGACGTGGACCAGCGCCCGGTCGGTCTGGCTCATCCTCGTCGTCGTCGCCGCGTTCCTTTTGCCGAGCGCCGGCCGCCGCGACGCACTTCTTCAGGTACTATATACAACTTTGAGGGAACCTGGCGCGCCGATAAAAACTAAAAAGTCAGTCTCGGCGGCGACCTCGCGGAGGTCAGAGCGCGGCGGCTCTCATTCGCTTTCAAAGCGTGCCGCGATCCGCGATTTCATTGCCCCTTTCATCCAGCGGTCTGGTTCCGAGAGTCGTTTTCGTCGCTCTGTCTTACTTGCACTCATGGGGCGTCCCGTACAGGTGCGAGAGAGACAGACTCTCGGAATCAGAGTCTGCTGAGTTTGCTGTTGGCGGCTCGCGGTTCGTCGCCCTGGCGGTTGCTGGCGGGGTCCTGGAGCACGTCGTCGTCGTCCACCACACCAGCAAGGCCGCCCTGTCAGCCCTTTCGCAGTGCTGCACTGTATCTCTCCGTCTTTATGACCATCGGCGGGAGGAACACGTCCAGCGGGCCGTGTGCCGACGGCGTGCCACCGGGCCGCCGGGCCCCGCCCGACCCGACAGTGGCGTGGCCGAGTCGGCCCAGTCGGACGGGGTGCTTCCGCTTGACGTCGCCAAGAAGCAAGCGAGGCAAAAAGGCAAGGCGAGGCTCGGCAGATGACCTAATGCAGTCCCGGCCAAGTCCCGGCCGGCCGGCCCAGCGTCCCTGCCCCAAAACGAGAACGCCGACGGCGCGACGTGGCGACGCAGCGCGGCCGGCAACAGGAAGTGCGCGCGCGGCGCACCGAAAACACGCGCCTGCATTCGTCGTGTCGTACTGGGACTCGGGAATAATATCAATCACCGCAGGGGACCGCAGGGGAGCGGCTGAGAAAGAGAGACAGAGTGTCACGGGAGGTTTCCGCGGGGAATGACATACGGCAGGCGGATGGGACTGGACGGGGTGCTCTCTCTCCCTCTCTCTCTCTCTCTCTCTCTCTCTCTCTCTCTCTCTCTGTCGCTCCGCGGCGCTGGCGGTGCACTGGCGGTGCACTGGCGGTACACTGGCGGCGCTCGCCGCGACCACGCGCCACCTTCTCGTTTCCTTACGGAGTTTACCGCTCCGCCTGACGCAGGCTCACTCCGAGCGGCGCTTCGTGGCCCTGTCTCTCTCGCACCCCTCGCGGCACGTCCCATGAGTGCGAGCGTGACACTAGAGCGACGAAAACACTATCCGGAATCAGCCTGGTGGCAGTGCCAACGCACGCGGCCACGCGGCGGCCGCCACCCTGGTCTGCCCTGGCCGGAGCGTGCATAGGATTACTCGCGACCCCCCGCCCCGCCGCGCCCCGCCGCGCCCCGCCTCAGCCTGGCTTAATCTCGCGTCGCCTGATTCAAAAGTAATCCGCCGCAGAGTGGTCGCAGCTCAGCGAGTGGAGGGGGGCGTTGGCGCGCGCGCTCACACAGACACACTCTCTCACGCACACAGGCACGCCCGTTGGCCCGATGCGCCCTTGGTGTCTCGGAAGTGCGTGGTGTTTGCGACATGAATTGCATTTAAGCCCCCTCTGCGTGTGCCCCGGCCGTGCCCCGGCCGTGCCGCGACCCCGTCCCTCGGCAACACACAGACGCACAGACACACACGTACTACTCCGGATGTCTGTCTGTCCGCCGGCCATGCATTTCCGTCTGCCGGACAAATAACCCACTCGCCCCGAAGGCAGCCGTCATGACCCGGCCACCGGCGCGGCGTAATCCAGCAGCGTGTGTGTGTGTGTGTGTGAGTGTGAGCGTGTGTGCGAGTGTGGGTGCTGACCGCCGCCCCGCAGCCTGCCCTTGCGTGTCTTCCTGGTGTGGAGGGCGTGCACTCTGCGACCTGACCGACCGCAGTAGCTCCATTCCGAACAGCGGCTTGGTCGCTCCGTCTCTCTCGCACTCGCGGGGCGTTCCGACGGGGTGCGAGAGAGACAGGGACAGTTAACGATTTGCGCCGGCCGCCCCGCCTCCGCGGTGCACCGCCGCCTGCAGGCCGTCCTGACCGTCGGCGTCCTCCCTGTTGCAGACTTCGAGCCGCCCCGCGTGCCCGACGCCCAGCAGCCGCGCCTGTACGTGCTCATGGTGTTCGAGCAGCGGCCGCCCACGCCGCCCAACACGCCCGAGGAGGAGCAGGCCGAGGGCCTGCACCAGGGCCCGCTGGGCCGGCACCCGGACCTGCAGCAGTTCGTCAGCGACCGGGACCGCTTCCCGCTGACGTCCTGGCTGCGCAGCAACAGCCCCAAGATGGCGCGCATCGCGGCCTGCCAGCAGTTCAGGGCGCACCTGTCGGAGTGCAGCCTGAACATCGCCGGCCTCGGCAGCCGAGACATGTGAGTGGCCAAAACAATGAAGGCGGGAAACCGCAGGGGGAGGGGGTGTTGAACCCGCGACTGCGGGCAGAGTTCATTTGCCGCTATCTGGCGCCGCAGTGAAGGCCGTCGTTATCCACGCCGCGACCCCCGACGTGGTTCCTGGTAGCTCCCTGTCCCTCGCTGTCCCCCTAACCCTCGCCCCTCCGTTCCGCAGGCTCGACCAGAGGGAGGACCAGGGCGTCCTCGGCGACGTGGAGGACTCGGACCACTCCTCGGACAAAAGGGCCGGGGGGGGCCCCCGCCCTGGCCCTGGGGTCCAGGACAAGGAGCGGCCAGGCCCGCGGCCCCCGGGCGGCACCAATACGGGCCAGCTGACCGCCGGGGCCGCCGGGGGCCCCCAGGCCAAGCAGCGGTGCCCCGTGTAGCGGGGGCGTCTCGCCGTCTCGCCGACGAGCGGGCGACCAGACTCCGGGGCCAGCGGGCAGGGGCGGACCGCCCCTGGCCGGGCCAGCCCCAGCCCGGCGCCCCAGACGCGACCGGGCCCCAGGCCCACCGACGGGACGGACCTCGTTCGGAGGGCGGCAGGCGGAGGCCCGGACGGCCTTTAGCGACCAGTCAAACGGCAAGGACTTGGCCGTCCGCCACGTCTGGCCGGAGCCTATTGTACATACTACATACTCTAATTTATTGTCGCTCCGCCTGCGATCGACACTGTAGTTAATTGTACCTGAATGCAAGATTGTGATGGCGCCGACCTGGGCGCGCGGCCGGCGTGGCTACATGACGACACCCACCATGTGCCATCAATTTTAGCGATGCTTCATTTTTGTTCACGATGATGTCGTTGTTGTTCCGAGCATCCCGTCGTGGCAGACTTCTTGACGCGTTGTATTTATTTTAGCCCTTTAAATATGATAGTTTAGTTCTGTCGAGGCGTACAACTTTATTGAGTAAGATTGGGCGGGAGAGAGCACCGTGAGTGCGGAGCGCGCCAAGGCGCGTCTTTTGTTGTGATGCTGCTGTGATGTTGTTGTAAATAATAAACATTTTAGTATAAATTGAAGCCTGGTTTTGGTTCGCTCCTTTGTTTCGTTCCTCACTCCCAAGCCAAGGTACTTGCGATACATGACTTTCAAAAAACGGAAACTGGGGGCACATCTCTCTGCTAATTTTGCAGTAAACCCAAAGAAAGGATTTTTTTTTTATTTGGGGCCATAAAATCCAGCGCATCGCTATTTTTGGCGTCGCTGTGTGCCGAGACTCCACCTTCGCCCGGGCGGCGGGGCGGCGGGCCGCGGCAGGCACACCGATACGCCGTGTCACCGAGTCATTCACCCAGCCGGCCCGGCGTCGCGGCGTCGCACAGTGCACCAGAGCACGCCCAGCCGCCCAGCCGCAAGGCACGTGCGCCTTTTATTTGGAAATTCCCAAACCGGACAGTTTTTTTCGACGTGTCTTCGCCCTGGACCGCCTGCCGAGCCGGCAACACTGCAGGACGCGGGAGTGTTACGGGACTGCCTACCCGGCGGGCGTCCTGAGCGCCTGTGGATCGCGGGGTAGGCAATGCCGCGCACCCTGGCTGCATTGCGGGCTGGCCCACGCTGCATTACCATTACCATTAAGGGCTAGACCACACATGATCGTATGCCATTTCGGGCCCGACACATGCCCGCCTGCACTGCAAAACGAGACGCTGCAGGCGTTCAGCTCTCCCAGGCCGATTCCTCCCACTGCTCCCGTCGCTCTGTCTCCGTCGCGGGAGGGTGCGAGCGAGACAGAGCGAAAGCAGTGCCGGCTTGCGCCCGCCGCGTGAGAAGATGCGGCCTCGCAGTTCGCAGTCCGTTTCGCGTTTATCCCCGACAGGTTTTATAAAGCCCGGAGCCGGTCGCGCTCTGCCTCGCCTCGCCGCGCTCGAGTCTCCTTTGCAGTGGCGGAGCGGGCCCTCGTGACATTTTGAAGAGACCGCGCTAAAAGGATGGAGCATGTTAACGCGCGGCCCGCGGCACCTTTGGGACGCTAATGGCGGAGCGGCCGATCCGAACGCGAGGCACCAAAATAAAATAATTAATTCTCGCGGTTCGGTCGGGGAGGCGGCGGCGTGTCGTCGGGCTGGCTGGGGCTGGCCCTCCGAGGGCTGCCGGTAGCTGGGTCACCTCTTCACTTCCGAGTCGGCCCGGCCCGCCGATAGCGGTTATCTTATCAAAATGGCTCGACAATGACGTCCTTGACAGAGCGGCGAAATCGCGGCTCTAGCCGATTGTCTGATCGTTATCTAGGGCCAGGTGCCGCGGCGTGCCGGGGCGTGCCTCGGGCCGCACGGGCCGGAAAAGGGAATGACGGCACTTTTGGGCCGGGCGCTACACTTTCGCCGAAAACTTCGCCCAGGCCCTGTTTCCCGAAAATGACGAGCAAAGGACCAAGCCCACCGGGATGGGATGGCGAGGTGCAAAGTCGAATCCGAGCGAGCAGGGAGATTGACTTGTTGACCGGCAGCACCCACCACTCGGCGAGGCGGCGAGGCGCCGATGCCGCGGAGGCGTTTCTTCGAATCACCCGGACTCGCCTGCAGGACCGCGGGCTCCAGTGGAGTGGTACTGGAGTGCGGTGTGTATTACCTGCGGGTATGACGCACACACTCACACCGACGCAGGAACGCGCGCCACACACACACACACACACACACACACACACACACACACACACACACACACACACACACACACACACAAGCGCCGCGGCGCGCTCCCTCCCCCACCTCCGACACAGCGCTGGGAAGTTCGCCCGACCTTGAGCTTGAACTTGCCTAGCAAACCTGTAACTTTGTTCCCGCGTGGGCTCGTCCCGTCCTGCCTGGGATCGCTCTGTCTCTCTCGCTCCCCTACGCGACGCTCCGTGAGTGGGACAGAGACAGAGCGATGAAATGATCCTGGCCCGTCTCTGCGGTACGGAGTTCGCAAGAGTACCGCGGTGTAATCGATGTTGCCGACCGCGGCTCCAAAGGTCTCGCGGGGTATTCCTGGAAAATTGGAGCAGTTACTCCGGCCAGCGGCCAATGCGTGGTCGGTGTGTCTTCCTCAGCTGACTGTGATTCCGAGCGTCGTTTTCGTCGCTCTGTCTCTCTCGCACTCATGGGGCGTCCTGAATAGGTGCTAGGGAAACAGAGCGACGAGAACGACTCTCGGAATCAGTCTGCTGGAGACAGCGTGTGTCAGGCCGGAGATTTACCCGACACAGTAAATCACAGTGGGCCAGAAGACCAGTGCAGGCGGACGCAGCCACTCGGAACACACCTTTTCGACTTTATGTTTCTCAAACGAGACTCGAATCGAACTCGACTCTCGATTCTTCGATCGATGGGCGACGCGGTCCGAACCTCGCAGAGGTAGTTTGGTAGTTTGGCAGTTGGTGCGTGTTTTTGCCAGTGTGGCTCGCAGTGCACAGCAGTGTCATTACTCATTGGCCGAAACCCGAAATTAGGAAACTACGGGCGCCATTTTCGACCGCGTGTACCGCGGTGCGCGCGTGTACAGTACAGTCCATCATGAAAGCATTTTTTGCAGCTCCGTGTCCGGCCCTCTGCATTGTCCTGCGCCTACAGTCCGCCCTGAAAGTGCCTCCTTTGTCCGTGGTCGCGTACAGTCTGCCGCCCCCTCGTCAGCGGACCGATTCCGAGCGTCGTTTTCGTCGCTCTGTCTCTCTCGCACTCACGGGGCGTCCCGTGCGGGTGCGAGAGAGACGGAGCGAGGGGACGACTCTCAGCCTGTCACCTGACGTGACTTGAAGCCGTCAGCCCCTTCCCTGTTAATAGGCATGAATGACGGCCAGACGTCTCCGTTCCTCCGAACCTGCAGACGACGCGCTCGCTTATCAGCCCCTTAACCACGATGAGTTACCGAGACTCCGCAGTGCCATTCGGGGACCAAAAGCACTCCGTTCGCTCGGTTCGGAAAGCCCCCGAGCCAGCCCCCTTGTCGTGTCGCCGTGAGAGATCTGTTGATCTTTATCCAGTCCTGGCGAGGATGACTCTGCCGGTCATCACGTAACCACTTGCCGGACCGCCCGGTGTGTCAGTGAGAACAAACCAGAGTTTGGGGACCCTGTTTGGGATTGGAGGTGGAGAAAGGAAAACAAACTTGTGTACACGCGTACGTCTAATAAAGAGTACTATCAAGTCTTTATTTCGCAATGTTTTGTTTACATTGCAGTATCTGGTACGAGGCAAGGAATGACATGAAGAAGTGGTACACTACAAAAATAAATAACTAAGAGGTCCCCTTATTATCGACCATTGTTGCCAAATATTTTAACAAGTAAAACCTTCTGTGGGGGTTGCCACAGGTGCAAATAAGTTAAATTTTGATGCCTTTTTTTTGGGATACCGGGGGAAATTTTGAACTTTCTAAGACAAAGGCAGTTATTTATAGTTGATTACTGCCACATTGTCTGTACCTTTTAAGCATGCCAAATCCACCCACACACCCACAGTCACTCACACACGCACACTCATTCACGCATCACACACCTACGTCCATTCACTGTAATGACTCACTTAATCACTACTGTTCTTTATACACAGGTGACCATTTTACAATGTTTCGGGTATTTTACAATGACATTAAGTAGCGATATCTAATTTTACAATACAAATTTGGACTGCTGCTATTTCTTCTCGCCCTGTGTTGCCGACACGGCGTGCGCGGGCATCGGCACTCGAAATGTGAAGCGCTACAACCCCTCGAGGTCTTGACGCACGCCGAATCAGGTGTTTGGATCCGCTTTCCGTGACGAGCAGAACGGAGTGCGGCAGTACGGAGTGCGGCCGTACGGAGTGCGGCAGTACGGACAAGCCGACTCGCTTTTATCTTGACTTTGAAACGAAATTGCATGCATCCGCCGAGGCCTGTGGCCGCGTTTGTTGGAAGGAAACTCGGAGAAACGGGGAGTGGAAACTACGCGGGTTCGACGCAGATTCGACGTGGCTTTCGTGGAAAAGGCGTCGATTTCGTGTCCGCACCCCATTGCTGGCCAGAGCGGGGCGGGCTCGCCAAAGCGGCGCACCGCGCTTCGCGCTTCGACTTTGGCGGACGCGGCCACGGCGGGCACGTGCTGGTGTCGACGTCATGCCACACTCGTGTGAAGAGCGAACGACGGCGACACCAACACGGCCAGCGTAGTGTGACGGCGCGGGGCCTCGCGGCCCGCTCAGCTCTTGATGGGGATGTCCTCCTGCGCGAGCGGCACCCCGAGGTTGACGCCCAGCACCCTGCCGTGGCGGTCCAGCGGCGGCGGCGACGGCAGCCTCACGACGTACACGGGCTCGCCGGCGCCGGCCCCGGGGCCGAGGCCGAACCGATCGTCGTCCACGTCCATGGCGGCCTGCTGCTTGGCCGACAGGAGCATGCGGCGGCGGTACAGCGCCGCCAGCACGGCCAGGATCACGATCACGAAGGCGGACGCGGCGCTCAGCACCAGGATGGCGGTGTGGTACGACTCGGGCACGGTGGACTCGGACACGATCTCGCGGTGCTGCAGCGCCACGGCGCCCAGGTGCGCAGAGGCGTCCTCGCCCGCCAGGCTGGGGGCGGCCGCGCTGTGGCTGAAGCGGGACTGGGTGATGTCGGCCACCAGCGCGGCGCCGGACTCGTGGCCCACGCTCAGCGCGCCGGACTTGACCTGGTCACACGGAAGACTCGATTAAACCACCGGTCCACCAGTCAAGGCTAAGTTTTAATTAATTATTGGTTTATGACTGTGAGAGTCCTAGACATTAATTTATAAGACGTGTTCTTCGTGTGCGGGACTCACCATCTCCTCCAGGTGGAACGCGGTGTCCACCTTGCCGGGGCCGTGCAGGGTGAAGGACGCCACCGCCCTGCCCGGACTCAAGGTGACGCGCAGCCCTTCGTGCCTGGTGGCGGCCTTGGTGGCGCTGGCGGTGGCCTGGCTCAGGCTGGCCAGCAAGGCCCTCACGGCGTCCAGGACGCGCGGCTCGGCGGCGGAGTCCACCACGCCGGGCTCGCCCAGGAAGCCCAAGGACACCTCCACGGCCTCGATGGGCGTTGGCACTGCAAGGCGTTTTTCTCGATACAAAACACAGCACGCGTTTGAAAGGTTTCACGCGGCGTTGCAGGTACTCACGGCAGATCTGGGCGCCGCGTTTGAACGTGGTGGTGTCGGCGAGCTGGTTGCCGGCCTCGTCAACGCACCAGCACTCGGCGTCGGGGTCGTCCTTGGGGAGGCACTGCGTGGCCGCGAACCTGAGCACAACGCGCCAGTCAGCAACGAGAAGCGCCTCGGGCAGCACACCGTGAGCACCCAGCCGTACTCACCCTCCGTTGTGGTCACACTGCAGCGCGGAGGCCTCGTCGACGGCGCGGTCTCGGAGCGCGTGGCACCGGGTGCGGCGCTCCGGTGGGATGGGCAGCGACACGGGCAGTGGCGGCCCGGCGAGCGCCTCCACGACGGGGGCCTCCACGTCGGGGGCCATGTGCTGCTGCAGGAGCTCGGCCACGGCGGGGTCCAGGCCGCGCAGCAGCTTGGCGATGGCTGTGGCACGAGCATAAACATGACACCGTAAAGCGGGAAGGAAAGGCCGTGGCCCGGTCTGGCCGGCGAAATATCGTCCCAGCATCGCCGACACCGCGCTGCCCCAATAAAAACCTGAAGTGAGCTTCGGGTATCGACGAGTCGTCGAACGGCCTTGAACCACATCAAGCGCGAGCGAGATTGAAGCGCGCCGACAGCGCTGCCTCACCGGATCTCGTTTCCGGCATTCCTTCCGGTTCCCATCTCGGCTTGGGCCGATTATCACACGATCGCCGTCGACGTCGCTAATACCCTCGCATCAAGTCCTAATGAGCACCAATCCGTCCAGCAAACCCGTTCGCCCGGTCGCGTCCCGCCACGCTTGGGGTGGCCGGTCGGCCGGCCCGGCGCACAAGGGGCTAGAAGGCAGTGGAGGCGGATTCTAGACGCGTTTTGAGCTCCAGAGTCGCTTAACAGGACTTGGACCGAACGTGTGACCCCACCAATGGATTGCTCTCCGAACGAGGAATCCATTGGTGGGGTCACACGTTCGGTCCGAGTTCCCTTTAGCGACTCTGAAGCTCAAAACGCGTCTTTGGCCGCCTCTTCGGTCCTCTGGCAATTCCACTGCCCGGCGTTCAACTCACCTAGCTCGGGGTCCTTCTCGTCCGCCCAGTGGGGGTCGTGGCGGCGACGCGCCTGGCGGTTGGAGGAGCGCGACGACGACGCGGGACACGTGGGGTTGGCGTCGCGCGTCAGCGTGCCCTTGATGGGCTGCCCGTCCGGCGCCACGCACCAGCACACGCCCACCTGCGTGAGGCACTGCAGCGGCAGCCAGGCGCCCGTCTCGGCCGAGCAGCGCGGGATGAAGGTCCACTTCTTGTACTTGTCGGCCGCCTTCTGGTTCTTCTCGCGGAGTCGCTCGCACTGGCTCAGCACTGTACGCGGGGCAAGGAACCGTTGAGACACGCCTCAGATTCGTTGACGTCGTCGTCCTCATCGTCGACTCACAGTGGGCCAGAAGACCAGTGGAAGCGGCCGCAATTCTAGACGCGTTTTGAGCTCCAGAGTCGCTAAATAGGACTCGAACCGGACGTGTGACCCCACCAACGGATTCCGCGTTCAGAGAGCAATCCATTGGTGGGGTCACACGTTCGGTCCGAATTCTGATAAGCGACTCTGGAGCTCAAAATGCGTCTAGAATTTCGGCCACCTTTACCGGTCTTCTGGCCCACTGTGCGTTGTCGTCCTCGTCGTCGACCGGGGCACTCACCTGGGCAAACCTTGTTGCACATGTCCTTGTCGGGGAAGGCGTTGTGCGCCGCGCCGCACTGGCCGGCCTGCAGCAGCTCGCACGCGTTGCGCTCGGGGTTGAACCGCCAGCGCTCCACGCCGGGCTCGCAGGGGCCCTTCAGCACGGGCTCGAAGCACACGTCGCCTGGAGAAGGAAATTCAATCGGTTCAGAGACGCGTCCGAGTTGGGACCCGCAGAGCGCCCTGGCGGCCACCGCCTCGCCGACGTCGCTGTCGAATGAGTTGCCTACCGCTCGCGGCGCGGCCGGCGCTAGTCAGCAGGCTTATTCCTACTGCGGCTCCCGTCTCTCTCGCGCTGGCGCTAACACGCGACGCCCCACGAGTGCGAGAGAGACAGTAGGCTCATTCCGAGCACTGCTTTCGTCGCTCTGTCTCTCCCGCACTCATAAGGCGTCCCGCAAGATTGAAAGAGAGAGACAGAGCGACAAGCAGTGCTCGGAACAAGCCTGCAGTGTGCTACTCAGTACTCACGTGGCTTGGGGCAGCAGACGGCGTACTCCCCCAGGGGGCTCAGCTCGCACTTGTGGCTGGCGGGGCACGCCTCGCCGCTCGGGCCGCACAAGAACAGCCCGTTGGCGGAGCCCGGCTGCTGCAGCGGCTGGCCCGCGAGGCAAGGGTTCTCCCTGCGGGGGAGGCACATCGGCACCTGCGGGGACCAGACACGTTCAGCAACTCGCGTCAGACAAACGCCAGCAGACTGATTCCGAGAGTCGGTTTCGTCACCGTCTCCCTCCCACCTGTGGGGCCTCCCGCAGGGGCGCGACAGAGACAGAGCGACAAAACCGACTCTCGGAATCAGTCTGCAGTGAACGACATTGGCGTCGCCGCCAAGAAGAAGAAGAAGACTGACCGCGTGGCAGGGAGGGTCGGCGCACTGCACGCGCACCATGCGGCAGGCCTCGCCCTCACCGCGGCACTGCAAGTCCTGGCAGGGGTCCCTGCAGCGACACGTCGGGCAGCCGCGGCCGTCCAGCTGGTAGCCGTGGGGGCAGGCCTGGTCGCAGCGCAGGTCGGGGCACGCTGCCATGCCTGCGGGACAGGCGCCGCGTGAGGGAAAGGACAGTGAGCACTCGCAAGATCCACGGACAGCAACAGCAATAGCAGCAGCAGCAGCAGCAACAACAACAACTCACCATTGCGGGCGCCGGCCTGGCAGTCGGGCTGCTGGGCGTTCTCCGTGCGCGTGCCGGGGACCTCCTGGCCGTGGTCGTCCACGCACCAGCACTGCCCGGTGCCCGGGTGGCACTGCGCCTCCTCGTAGGCGCCGTCCGACTCCCTGCACCGCGGCACCCACAGCTTGCTGGCCGGGATGCCGGACTCGTGCGACTCGTGCTGGAAGCGGGGAACGGTACGTCAATCAATATAGCGAGCACATTTAAAAGTCCCTCGAAACATTGGTGGCCGCGTCACGCACCTGCAGGATGGCGCGCCGGTGCTGGCACTCGGTCATGACGACGGGCAGCATGCACTGGGTGCCGCAGCCGTTGGAGCAGCACTTGGCGGTCTCGTTGCAGTTGTAGTCGGAGCGGCACTGGTAGTCGCACGACCCGGCGCTCACGGGCACCAGGTACGGGCACTGGCCGGGCTTCTTCGGGAGGCCTGCAGGACGACAAGAGCGTGTGAGTCGAGGTCGAGGCGTCGTCGGCGAGGTGGTCGCCGCAAAGCCGCAGTGGCACAGTGGGTATGTACTCACAGGCGGGCACGGGCGGGCAGTACTCGGCGTCACAGGCCACGTCCACGACGTGGCACTCGGCGTCCGCGCCGCACTTGGCCTCGGCGCAGGGGTCGCGGCACTCGCACAGCGGGCAGCGCGTGTCCGGGGACAGCGTGAAGCCGAACTCGCAGCCCAGGCGGCACGTCAGGTCCAGGCAGGTGAGCGACTCGCGCACCTCGAGGCAGGCCGGCGACGGCGCCGCGCCCTTGGTGCGCGTCTGGGGGATCTCCGAGCCGAAGCTGTCCACGCACCAGCAGGCGCCGGCCTCGCACTGAGTGTCGTTGAAGGAGCCGTCGGGCCGGCAGGACGGCGGCGGCAGCGCCAGCGACATGCCGTCCCGGGTGCCCTCCATCTTGTCGCGGAAGTCGCGCAGGTACTCGCACACTGTCAAGGGAAGGGTGAGGGTGAGCAACGGGTGACATAGGCATGATAGACTTAAAAACCGCTCAAAGAGTAGATGATGCCGTAAAATTGTATTTTGTCTTGACCTGGACGGCGCTTGATGCAAATCGCCGCATATCGCACTCAAAATTGGCAACTGAAACACTTACTGGATGCGGGGCGGTCCTCCTCCTCGTCCATCATGGCGTCGTCCTCCATCTCCTTGACGAAGACTTCGGCGGAAGAGTCCGCGGTGACGCTCTTCTCGGTCGGGGCGGCGTTCACCACCACGGCGTCGGTGGGGACGCTGTCGGCGGGGATGTCCTTGGCGGGGATGTCCTTGGCGAGGAGGTTGTTGGCGGGGAGGTTGCTGGCGGGGCGCGCGGGCTGGGCGCGGACAGGCCTGCAGATGGGGGTGGCGCTGCAGAGGGGGCCGTCGCAGTCTGGCGCCCGCTCCGCGACGCACTCCTCGCCCGCGCCGCACACCGCCCCCGCGCACGGGTCGTCGCACTCGCACGTCGGGCAGCCGTCGGCGCCGACGCGGAAGCCCAGCTCGCACACCTGCGGCACCACAAGGAGCTTGTGTTCACCTGGAGCACGCACTTCAGCGTGACCGCCATGAACGACGACGTACCTGAGCACACCGTCCGGAGGTGGTGCAGCGCTGCTCGGGCGGGGAGCCCCCGATGGCGCGGCCGGTGGCGGCGCGGGCCTCCTCCAGGGCGTGCGGCAGGCAGTGCACGGACGCGCTGGTCGCCATGGAGTTGGGCCTCTTGTTGCCCGCGCGGTCCACGCACCAGCACACGCGCCCGTTGCGGCTGCACTGGCGCGGCCGGAAGGCCCCCGTCACCGGGTCGCACTGCGGCACGTAGCCGCGGCCCTCGCGCTCGGACACGGAGAGCTGCACGGCGAGCTGCCGCAGCTGGCGGCACTCGGTCAGGTTGGCGGGCGGCGTGCAGGCGCTGCCGCCACACTCGGCGCTGTCGCAGCACTTGAGGGGCCCGGGGCAGTCCTGGTCCCCGCGGCAGCCGGGGCCGCACGCGTCCTCCGCGGGGTCGGACCACAGCGCCTCGCCGCGCGCGGGGCACGCGCCGGGTTTGTCCAGCCGCGCCGCGCCCGGGCAGCACACGCCGTAGTCGTTGCCTGCAACACGCGCAGCGCCGTCAGAGGGGAAGCCTACCTCCACGGCGTGGCTCCGCGGCCTCGCCGACGTCACACAGTGGGACAAGGCGGTCAAAACCCCGGACGCGTTTTGAGCTTCCAGAGTCACTAAACAGGACTCGAACCGAACGTGTGTCCCCACCAATGGATTGCTCTCCGAACGAGGAATCCATTGGTGGGGTCACACGTTCAGTTCAAGTCCCATTCAGCGACTCTGGAGCTCAAAACGCGTCTAGAGTTTTGTCCGCCTCCACCGGTCTTCTGGCCCACTGTGCGTCACCGACCCACTCGCTCACCTGGCTGCACGGAGCACTCGAACAGCGGCGGGCAGCGGGGCTGGCCGGGGCTCAGACCGCACAGAAACGGCCTCGGGGGCACGCCGCTGCCGGGCATGGTGAGGGGGGCGCCCGCGGGGCACACGTTGTCCAGGCTGCGACCCTTCTTGCCTGCGGGCAGAGCGGCGAGCGTGAGGCGAGGAACAATTGGCGGAGGACCTTCCTTTTGCGTGCCTTTGTTACGGAAAGCGATTATCTGCCTTAGTTTGGGAGCAGTACTGCCGCAAAGTTGATCACAACGGTTACAAATGTCTGAAAAATCGTGTTTTGGGCCGACTTTAAGCATCTACTGCGTCTGATCCGAGGCGGGAAATCGTCCTCCGTCAACGGGCAATTGGTCTTTGGACCTTCTTTTTTCATGCCTTTGTTACGGAGTGCGATTATCTGCCTTAGTTTGGGAGCAGTACTGCCGCAAAGTTGATCACAACGGTCACAAATGTCTGTGAAAAATCGTGTTTTGGGCCGACTTTAAGCATCTACTGCGTCTGATCCGAGGCGGGAAATCGTCCTCCGTCAACGGGCAATTGGTCTTTGGACCTTCTTTTTTCATGCCTTTGTTACGGAGTGCGATTATCTGCCTTAGTTTGGGAGCAGTACTGCCGCAAAGTTGATCACAACGGTCACAAATGTCTGTGAAAAATCGTGTTTTGGGCCGACTTTAAGCATCTACTGCGTCTGATCCGAGGCGGGAAATCGTGCTCCGTCAACGGGCAATTAGTCTTTGGACCTTCCTTTTTCATGCCTTTGTTACGGAAAGCGATTATCTGCCTTAGTTTGGGAGCAGTATTGCCGCAAAGTTGATCAAAACGGTCACAAATGTCTGAAAAATCGTGTTTTGATCAACTTTGCGGCAATACTGCTCCCAAACTAAGGCAGATAATCGCTTTCCGTAACAAAGGCATGCAAAAGGAAGGTCCAAAGACCAATTGCCCGTTGAAGGAGGACGATATACCGCCTTGGATCAGACGCAGTAGATGCTTAAAGTCGGCCCAAAACACGATTTCTCACAGACATTTGTGACCGTTTTGATCAACTTTGAGACAATACTGCTTCCAAACTAAGCCGGATTATCGCACTGTGCCTCGGCGTCGTACTTACAGGTGGGCACGGGCAGGCAGGGCGGCCGGCTGCAGGAGGCCGCCTCCTCCAGCTGGCACGTCAGCGACCCAGAGCACTTGATCTCGGAGCATGGGTCGTAGCAGCGGCACAGCGGGCAGCCCTTCTCGTCCGTGGCGAAACCGTACGCGCACAGCATGCGGCAGGTGTGCCCGGAGCAGGCCTCCGCCGAGGGGGCCACGTCGGCGCCGTCATCGCCGCCTGCGTCAAGGAGGGCGTCAAGGAAGTGGCGACGTGTCCGCACAGACGCGTCGGGATGGTCTTAACACGTTGAATGCGATGGGTTCACAACAGCTGTGAACCCCCCACGGCACATGTCACTCTGGCGATGGGTTCACAGTGTGAGCCCAGCCTTTTTGGTCGTCGCCACACCGAAAGCGCATCGCCACAGCGGAGCATTGCCTTTTTCGGAAAAGATTTCGGATTTTCGGAGATTTGGAGCGCTCCAGGGGGCACGGTATTTCTCGAGTGGTTATGTCCTCTCGCTTTTGTCGCCTGCAAGCCCTGCAAGGGAGTGTGCTCGGAGGCTGTCGGCAGGTGCAGGCCGTCGTTCTGCGGATGCGCCGCCACTGCCGCCGCCACTGCCGCCGAATGGCCGAAGGCATGCGCTCCTCACTTCCGGCTTCGCGGTGACTCAGGTTTGGAGTACTCCGTTTTTGCCACCGTCCCCATTGTATTCGACTGGACCGAGCGGGCGACGGCGAAACTGTGTGGTGGCGGTGACGCACTCGGGCGTCCCTGGCGCCCGCCCGGCCCCGGCCCCGGCGCCGGGTCGCGCGCCCCTCCGCGCCGCGCCCCGCCAAGACACACTCCTCTTTGGCGAGGTGCTTTTCGCTTTGGCTCGAGTTCGGTTCAACGGAGAGATCCTGTGTGTCGTTGTTCCGGCTGCTTTCACCGGCCCCATGACGTGGCGCGGCACGGCGCGGCACGGCACGGCGGGCACGTCGACGGCGCGCCACGGCCGTTCGCGCTTCTGCCGGCCAGCCAGCCCGGGCCAGCCCAGCCCGGCGTATTAACGCAACGGGCGTCCTCGCCGAGCCCTCGCGACCTCGGCCCCGCGACTCCCATATACGCGTCACTGACGACAAACGCGTCACGCTCGGCATATGCAATCCCAGAGCTCTCCGACGCGACGCAGTCGCCGCTGCAACTGCCCCTGCCGCGCCACTGCTTTCCTGCAGACTGAGAGTCGTTCTCGTCGCTCTGTCTCTGTCGCCCCTACAGGGACCGCCCCCTGAGTGCGAGAGAGACAGAGCGACGAAAACGACTCTCAGTCGGCCTGTCTCGTCCTTGTCTCCGGGCGACTCGCCGATGGAACCGCTTTCTTGTCAGCGATAAATCAATTAAGGAGAGAAAGAGTCGTGTGACAAGTCGGTGACCACTGCATAAGAGTGGCTCCGTTTTTATTGGTGGACTGCCCCTGCAGGCAGCGGGCAGCGGCCTTCGAAAAACCTCCTTCATCTCCCTGCCAGTGTGTGAGTGTATGCGCTGCGTTTCGCTTTCCCTGTGACCGCGAGAGCAGCACACTGGGGAACGCACCGCTTACAAGTTCTCGCCCCCTATCAGGGCTTCATCATCTCCCCGCCCCTCCCCGCTCCTCCCGCGGGCCGCGGACTACAGAGCGGTGCACGCTGCGCGCCTTTTTTGCGCGCTCTTTTTTCTCCTCTTTCCGAGTCCGCGAACCGTTTTCATCCCGCTGGGTGTGAAGCCTGATGTCGACCAGAATAACAACGGTTTTTCATTGCAGTCGCGACCTTTTTCAGGTTAGGTTAGGAAGACTAACGAGTAACGCAACGCGCAACGCGGCCGGCGATTGCTGATAGGACTGTACCTGGTAGCGCCAGCGCCGTCCTGGAGCAGGCCGAGAGGGTCGCGAGTGCCAGCAGCACCCGGACGCCGACGACCCAGCCCCGCCACCATCTACCGCGACCGGACTCCATCCCCCGGCCACATCAACGTCCTGGGAACAAAACAAGCAAAGCGTCAAGTCACACAGCGACACGGCCGAAGAGAAAAGCAAAACGTACAAAAAAATCTCATTCAACGAACGTTAATGAAAGCAGATGATCCGTCGCGTTTCACAACTGCTGTGATAGCCGAGAGGTTAGAGACGTCGGATCGAGTTACCGCAGGCGGGCGTTCGAATACCAGCGTCACATACGTTTTTTCGACTTACTATCCTAAGGGTGGTGGTTCGAGGCCATCCGAGCGGAGCCGTGTGCAACAGACTCACATGCCGGAGGTTCGACTCCTAACAAATATTTCCATTTAATTTTACTGCCTCACCCAGTGCGGTTGAAACCCGTGAACGTGAGCCCACTCCGAGCATGGGATGTGGTGGTCCAGGGAGTAGAGGCTTCGGTTCCCAATACTAGGGTCGGCGGTTCGACTCCCCCAACTTCTTGCGAAATTTTGACCGGGTCAGTCGAGTCCTGTTGCGTCAAGAACCCACCTCACGCCGGTCCCCTCATCATGGGCCGTGGTGGCCGAGAGCGTATAGTCGTGTGATCCCGGTGGCGGGGTCCGGGGATCGAATCTCATCATTTCGTTACATTTTTCGACTGCCTTCCTCCCACTGCAACTCAAACCCGTCGTCCAACACGCTGCCAGACGTACAAGCGTGATAGCGTAGTGGTCAGAGTCACATTCACCTGGCCACTCCGCTGTGGGTGTCTAAAAAGCAATCCGCTTCGGCGGGTTGGCCTCGGCACTGGAGCGATGGCGTATTTGATCCATCAATCCAGACCACCCGGTGTGTGGTTGCGGGTGGTGCCTCCTCGATCCGTCGGGGAGGCGATGATAAGTCCTTTGAAGCTGGCCTAAAACGCTGTATGTTCGGTACGGGAGCGCCGGACAGTGGGGGTACCATGGGGTACACAACCAACCCTACGAAAACAAGAAGCTCCCACCAAACCTCTTCTCTGTCTGAGTCTCTCTCTGTCTCTCTGTCGTCTCACTCTACGTCCCGCCCCTCAAAGAGCTTCGTACTGGGTGCTCTCACCCAGCTGCCTGAGCTTTGGGGTCCTACTGGGTCCCCCGGCGAACGCTTGGGTCGCTGACGGGATTAACCCCAGGTACCTGATAGCACCGGTTCCCATCCCGAACACCGAAGTAAAGCAGGAGGCCTCCCCATTAAGACTGGGGAGGGGGTGTAGAGTTCAAATTTTTTTCTTTTCTCTTTCAAATTTCTCAGTCAATACTCTAGAAGACCGGCGCCGGCGGCCAAAACCCTAGACGCATTTTCAGCTTTAGAGTCGCTAAACAAGACTCGAACCGGGCGAGTGACCCCACCAATGAATTCCTCGTTCGGAGAGCAATCCATTGGTGGGATCATACGTTCGGTTCGAGTCCTGTTTAGCGACTCTGGAGCTCAAACCGCGTCTGGGATTTTGACCTCCTCCAACGGTCTTCTGGCCCACTGTGGAGCGTCTGCCTACCCGGACTCGCATTTTTCCGGGCTGAATAGTTGAAAAGGTTAGGGAACCGCGGCTCGGGCACGATTTTCCCCCACGGCTCGCCACGGCTCCGCGGCAGGTTTCCAGGCGCTCCTTCTTGGACAAGACGGCATTGACCGGTGACATTTTGCAAAGCGGCGCGGGCCGCCGCGCCGCGCCCCCCCCCTCCCCTCCAGACTCGCAGCGTAGCGGAGTAGCGCAACAGATAAACCAGTGGTGTGGAGGCAGAGCCCGAAGCAAAGGGCGTCGCTAACGGTGCATCGAGAGGGCCTCGGACGCCTCCACCGGGCACGACGGCGGGGGCGCCTTCAGGAAGCCCTGCTGCTCCCCCAGGACGTCCCCAGGACGCCGCACAGTGCACAGTGGGTCAGAAGACCGGTGGAGGCGGCCAAAACTCTAGACGCGTTTTGAGCTCCAGAGCCGCTAAACAGGACTCGAACCGAACGTGTGGCGACCTGTGTGGGTGCGAGAGAGACAGAGCGACACTGCTGGGAATGCGGCTGCAGGCGGGGGCCGCTGGCGACACTTGGCGCTCTGGGGCCGAGGGCGGAGGGAGCCCCATTGGGCGCGGCTAATCCAATCGGTGCCCGCAGTGGCGTAGCAGTGGCGTAGGCGTGCTGACCCACTCCACTGCCCCGAAGCACGGCGGAGCACGGTGAGCCGGAGAAAAGACGGACGAGGGAGAAAGAAAAGAAAAGACCGCAAGAAAAAAATGACGAAGTTGACGAGGCCAGGAGGACGCGACAAACGCCAGGGAGGTGTTAAGAAGGGACCCACTTCACAATGGGCCCATCAGTCCCTGCGGGGCCGCGCCGGGGCCGTGGTGGGGGCTCGTCCCGCTGGTGGGGCCAGCACGGCCCACGGTGGGCCCACGGTGGGCGCACGGTGGGCCCCGGGCCCAGGATGACCGGAAACAGATCGGTTGCATGGCGTCGGCCTGCAGGCCCACCGCAGGGCGGGGCGTGGTGGAGTGTGGCCGAGCGTGGCGGGCAGCGGCTCGCAGTGGCGCAGCGGCAGAGCGCACCTCACCCGGGCCCCGGGCCCCGGCATGCAGCCACACGGGCCGGCCGGACGGCCGACCGGACACCGCTGCTGCGAGGCACGGCGAGGTGCTCCCCTCCTCCATGCCCGTCCCGTCCATGCCCCTCTTTCCCCATCTCGGAAGCAATTTCGCTGCCATGCCGTCCTCGTCCTCCCCGCCCCGCCCCGCCCCTCTCCCGGAAGGCATCCCGGCCGTGTCGATGACACAGTAAGTCGGCTAGGCAGCTGTTTGTTCCTCCAGCCCGGAGCCTCCGGTGGGGCGCACCGCGCACCACGCCGGGGTAACGGGTAGCGGGTAAGCGGCGTGCCGCTCGGCCCGTTGCTCCGGCCGCTTGGTTTCGCGCCGCCCCGGGCGGCTGGATGCAGCCCGAGCAGTGCACCAGCGCGATGCTCCTTACAGCGTGCCGGCGTGCAGCGCCGTGCAGGGAGAGTGAGAGTGGCCCTCGTCGCGGGCAGCCCGGCCCCACGTCGCGCTATGAAGACAGCTGTTCCCGCGGCCGACCGCCCTGTCGTCGCTCTGTCGCTCTGTCTCTCGCACTCGTGGGGCGGTCCATGGGGGTGCGAGAGAGAGGGCACGGTTGTCGGGGCGCTGTCCCGGTAAAGCGCCCGTCCGCCGGTCCGTCCCGTCGCTGCAGCGGCAGCAGCGGCGCGCCACTCAGAGAAACGGGCGGCAGAGCGAGTCGAGCGGGTCCGGGTTCGACTCCCGGCCGATCCAGTTTGACGTTCGCGCCACCGGCCGACCGGTGTGCGTGGGGGTAGGCCGGGGCTTCCTGCTGTGTCTTGCGGTCTAGGGGATTATGAAGAATTCGCGCCTCCACCCGTTGATGCAACACTCCGCTGGTACACCGTCCAAGTCGTCGGTACGTTGCCGGGCAATTTTTATTTTCTTCCTTCAGTGCTCGGCCGCTCGCTCGCATGGGTCAGACAGAGAGGGAGAGATGGACACACCCATGGCGCAGCGTGCGGCCGCGTGCGGTTGTGTTTTAGGTGGGCCGCGGCGTCCTGTGGCAGCCACGGCATGGCACGGCACTGCAAGGCACGGCACTGCAAGGCACGGCGCGGCAAGGATACGTCGTCCACGTAACAGGCTCGCGGCCACGCCCGTGCCGGCGGCGCGGCAGGCTATGCAGCGCGCGGGATGCGGCCGGGCTGGCCGTGCTGGATGATGTCGAGGATGATGTGCCTTGATTGAGCCCCGAGAGGCGCAGGCCCTCGATGACCACCGCGGTGACGGCCGGGCCGGGCGCGGCGGCGCAGTGATGCGGGCCGGCCTGGTGACGCAACCACGCGCCACTGCATTACCCGCGGCACGCCGCCGTCGTCGCCGTCAACGCCCTGCAGGCTGTCTCTCTCGCACACCTACGCGCGCTGCGCGACGCCCCACGAGTGCGAGAGAGACAGAGCGACGAAATCGGCAGGGCGCCGCGCTCCGCGTGTCGAACGGCGAATAATTAATTTCGTCGCTTCGTCCTTACGAGGCGTCGAGACGCCGCTGTTGCAGCTGGCGGCGCCGCGTTTCGCCACCGGATTACACCAAAGCGTGTGTATTTTTTCCCGTCCGACGCCGTGCCGCCGTGCCGCCGTGCCGCCGCCTCGCGGACGCGGCAGCCTTGCAGCGGCTTAGTGACGAGGATGATGATGATTTTTGTGCCGCTAGACAATCGCACGCCATTCGGAAATGAAAAGTGGGGCAAGCCCGGCAAGCCAGCAAGGCGAGCCTTGTATGTGTGTCGAAAACGGCAACGGCGGCACGCTACACTGGTAGTGGTAGTGCTCACGGTAATAACGGCTCAGTCTAGCGCTGCGGACACAGAGCGCAAGCAGCGCTGGCTCGTCCAGGGGCATCATGGTAAGTGGACTGGTTTGTGTCGCACGATTTCCGCGGTGGCCCCGGCACGACAACAAAAAATGCGACTTGAGTGTAGTGCCACGCACAGGCGGAAACGGTGATTATATGATTCGAGCGGCGGACGTCGTACGTGTATTTCGTTTCAGTGTCCCGCGCTGCTAAAAGTTGCTGTTCTTTTACGACGCCCACCTTTCTCTGTCGGTGCGCTGCCCCCGTGTGGTTTGGACCAGAGCTTTCGTCGCTCTGTCTCTCTCGCACCCCGACGGGGCGCCCCTCGAGTGCGAGGGAGACGGACACAGCGGCCATTAATCTCGTATTAGAAGGCGTTTGGAAAGCCATTAGCGCCCCTCGATAGCCGAGGCGGTGCATGCGCTGCTAATCTGACGTTCACGGATCCTCGAGGCATTCCCGCGAGAAGGAGAGACAGAGAGAGAGAGAGAGAGAGACAGAGAGAGACAGAGAAAGAGAGAGACCGCTCCGGCACAGCGCCACGCCGGCGGCCGCGCCGAAGGCCACGCCCCGTGAAATATCACCGCGGCAGCACCGCGCCGAAGGCCGACGAGCACCCCGTGCAGAGGGCCGGCCTGAGGTGGCATGAGGCCGGGGAAAAGTCCT